TCGTAGATTACGCCACCCGCTACCCCGAAGCCGTCCCACTGAGGAACACAAAGGCCCCCACGCTAGCGCGGGAGCTACTCTGGATTTTTTCGAGAACGGGGTTGCCCCAAGCGATCCTCACGGACCAGGGTCCAAACGTGACCTCCCGGGTCATCAAAGAGCTGTGCAAAATGTTGAAAATTCAGCGGCTATGAACTTTGGTTTATTACCCACAAACCGACAGATTAGTTGAGCGGTTTAACCAGACACTTAAAGGGATGCTGCGACGGTTTGTGCAGGACGACCCTAGGGGGTGGGACTTGATGTTACCCAGCCTTCTGTTTTCAGTGAGAGAAGTCCCGCAGTCTTCCACGGGGTTTTCTCCTTTTGAGTTGCTATACGGACGCCGCCCCCGAGGAATCCTCGACCTCCTGAAGGAGGGATGGGAAAGCCAACCTACCACCGGGCGGGGGACGGTGCAATACATCGCGCAGCTCCGGGACAAACTAAGTCGTCTGGGCGAGTATGCTCGGCTGAACCTTGAAGACGCCCAACACCGTCAAGCAAAGTGTTATGACATCAATGCACGTCGGCGGGAGTTCCAGACGGGTGACCGAGTTATGCTACTCCTGCCCACAAAAGAATCGAAGCTCCTAGCACAATGGCAGGGACCTTTCGAGGTCATCAAGAGGATAGGGGAGGTCGATTATGAAATTAAGCTGTCAGGCCGACGCCAGGGGACCCATCTCTTCCACGTTAATCTTCTGAAGAAGTGGGTACCCCGGGACGCCCTGCTAATCGCTCCCCCATCAGGAGAGGACGACCTGGGGCCATGGGGCGGGGCGGAAACGGAACAGCTGGAGATTAGCCTGAACCCCGACCTGACCCCACAACAACAGGCGCAACTACGTGACATCCTCCAGCGGTACCAGGGGATCCTCACGCCGCGACCGGGCCAAACGACCCTAGGAATACACCAGATCACCACGGAGGAGGGCCGGATCGTGCGAGAACCACTGCAACCCCTGCCCCGGAAAGTCTGGGACACCGTAAGGCGCGAGGTCCAGTTAATGAGGCAGTGGGGGGTCATAGAGGAATCAGCAAGCGAGTGGCGCAGCCCCATTGTGCTGGTCCCCAAGGCCGACGGATCAACTCGCTTTTGCATAGATTTCCGGAAGGTGAACGCCGTGTCCCGTTTTGATGCGTACCCTATGCCAAGTGTAGACGAGCTACTGGAACGACTTGGACAGGCGGTCTACATAACGACGTTAGACCTGTCAAAGGGATACTGGCAGATACCGTTAGACCCAAAGGCCCGAGAGAAGACTGCCTTCTCGACCCCATTCGGTCTATTTCAGTTTCGGACCATGCCGTTCGGCCTCCACGGGGCGGCAGCGACCTTCCAGCGAGTGATGGACCGGGTATTGGCCCCCTATTACGAGTTCGCTGCCGCCTACATAGACGACATTGTCATCTATAGTCGGACGTGGAAAGATCACGTGGAGCACCTACGGACGGTACTCTCAGCCTTAGGTAAGGCCGGCCTCACAGCTAACCCCAAAAAGTGCTGCTTTGCACAGCATGAGGTCTCATACCTAGGGTACGCCGTGGGGCGGGGAAAACTAAAGCCCATTTACAGTAAGGTGCAGGCCCTAAAGGAATATCCGACCCCGACAACCAAGAGACAGGTTCGCCAGTTTCTGGTGCTCGCAGGGTATTACAGAAAATTCGTACCCCAGTTTGCTTCACTGGCGACTCCCCTGACTGAACTGGTAAGGAATTCGGAGCCAACCAAGGTACGATGGAACCCGCAGGCCGAACGTACCTTCCAGACATTGAAAGAGAAGCTCCAGACTTTGATGAACCCTTCATTCTTTATACAGATGCCTCCGAGGTGGGACTTGGGGCCGTATTGACACAGGAGGGACAAGATGGGGACCACCCCATCCTATACCTTAGCCGCCAGCTGCTGCCACAGGAAAGGGCCTACGCAACTGTCGAGAAGGAAGCATTGGCGGTAAAATGGGTGGTGGACTCCTTGCGGTATTATCTATGGGGAAATAAATTTATGTTGGTGACAGACCATGCCCCGTTAGTCTGGCTAAATTCAATGAAGGATACTAATGCCCGGATAATGCGGTGGTACCTGGCCCTACAGCCCTACTGCTTCGAAATAATGCATCGACCTGGGGCCACCCACCTTAACGCCGATTTTTTTTCACGCATAGGGGAACCCACCCCCACCCAGACCCAGCCTCCCCAAAGGGGGGAGGTGTGTGACAGACCCGGCCGGGTCCGCACTGACCGCAGGGGAGAGACCCCCGTGGTCCATGGGAGAGTGGCTGTCGCGAAGGCCG